GCATGTCTTTGCACACCTTTGAAAACAGGCACAGATACTGTCTCATTAACAATGGTGGTAAACCTCAGCTCCCCCCTCTCCCAACCTATTGCTTTCTTGGGTTTCTTCCTCTGCTGTTGTTGCTCTCTGCATCCCAATTTCCCCATCTTTTCTTTTCCCTGGTGTTCCACTATTTTTCCATTCTCCTTTTCCACATTCTTTTTCTGTCTTGCTCACTTACGTATCCTGTCACACACCAGACTAACCTGTCCCTGTCTCACCTCTTCCATCAAAGCTGTTCTCATTTTCTCCATCGGTTTCATTTTCCCCAGACACATTCTGTTTCCTGTCTGCATTGACTGACACCATCCAAGTTGACTAGATACTGCAGAAAGCCAGACCTCCTGATGTGTGGTTGAATGTCTTGGCAATAGCATTAATGCATGTCAACAACAGGTGTAAGGAGGACAGAGTAATGGATGGCATCTGCAATTTTCTTGTATATGATACAACATCTTTAAGCAAATCCATATTAGGTGATGAATGCTGTCAATAGCTACATACACTTACGGCTTTCAGTGACGTTAAACCATAATAACACACCATCACATCATCCTTAAGATAGATCCTTTGCTGGTGCTAATTAGCCTGCTCCCATTAATACCACCTGAAAATTGGGGTGAAAGTGATTTTTTTCCTCTCTGTCACTTGCAACAAATGACAGTTTAAAATAGGAATGTACTTTTAAATTACTTATACTGTAATCATGGTTAGTAGGGCCATGCAAAATTTTGACCACCGTTTCATTTCGACGCTGTTTTGATGCTGTTTTGACTCATTTTGAGTTCGAAACAGCAAAATCAAAATGAAACAAAGGCTGTTGAAATAGCCTCGTAACAAACAAGGCTAGTCAAACATTTTGAAAGTCAGAAAGTTTTGACCATAGTGCTAGGGATGGGAAGTCAGCCCAGCTAGGGATGGGAAGTCAGTCCAGCTGGGCTGACTTCCCATCCCTGGTGCCAGATCCGCCAGGGGGCCATCCCCCGTGCTAGATTGTGGGCCTTGCTAGATCGCAAGGGGTGGGAAAGCAGCCCAGCTGGGCTGCTTTCCCGCCCAGCCCCCCCATGATCTAGCACTGGGGATGGAGAGGCAGCCCAGCTAGGCTGCTGTCCCACCCCCTGTGTTCTAGTGCCAGGGATGGAGAGGTAGCTCAAATGGTTGCTTACCCAACCCCCACGATCTAGTGCAGGGGATGATGAGGCAGCTCACCTGGGCTGAATTCCTACCCCCAGCTGGTGTTGGACAGTCAGTCCAGCTGGGCTGAGTTGCCCAGCTGGGCTGAGTTCCCCAGCCCCATGGTCCCATGAAACTGTCAAAATAGGATCAAAACCACCTCACTGTTTCGACAAAGTGAAACAGTGAGGCTGTTTTGACTCACAATTATATTTGATTCAAAACACTGTTCCATCCAGACCTCGAAACCGAAGTCAGAATGGAACAGTGCCATTTTGCACAGCCCTAATGGTTAGCTAGGAACCATGGAAAGTGCTCAAAGATTTTAAGGCCAGACAGAGCTCTTATATCCTCTGGTCTGGCCTCCTGGAAAACAAATTATAGAATTTTGTCCAGTCACTTCTGCACTGAGCCCTTTAACTTGTGTTTAATGATGAAAGGATATTTTCCAAAAAACTTCCAGTCTTGACTTTAGAAAATACATAACATCCCTTGATAATTTGTTGCAGTGGTTAATCCTTATCACTCTGAATTCTAAATTGAATTTGTCTGGCTTTAACTTCCAGCCATGGATTCTGATTATGCCTTTCTCTGGTAGGGTGCAGCCTGATGGGACCTACTATTCCCTTTCTGGAAAAGTATTTATACAAGATCAGCAAGAGACTTTGTCACCTTCTATGACATACAAAACAGACCAAACTATTTATCTCTTTCACTGTCAGGTATGTTTTCCAGCCTTTCAATCACTTATATGAGGCCTCTCCCATACGCACCTTCTCTAGTCCTTTGATTTTTTTTTTTAAATATAGAACCAGACCTAGATTTTAGGTTTGATCTGACTAACATCTTTTATGAAGGTAAAATCATCTAATTAATTATAACTGCAGATCACCTTAATGATACATCCAAGTTTCACAATAAGAATTGACATTCCATTGTCGTCTATGGTGACTCCTCCTTAAAACTAACACAAATAACTATGTCTCTCTCCTTCCTTTTCTCCTTGCTGCTCTTAAGGTCCCCATTCTATAGCTATGGCCAACACTATTCCTAAACTTTGCATTTGGCTGTATAAAAAGCGCACTGTTTTTGAATGGACCCAATTAAACAAGCAAGCCAGGTCACTCTCTTGGACTCTTTAATATTCATCTTGGCCCAGTGAAGGGAGTGCATGGGTTGCAACTTTAACTTATTAGCTAATGGTTTTTGCGTTGAATTATCCTGTGTTGGCTGCAATAGAAGCTGCTAGTTATTTAAAACTTTTGAAAAGCAAGTGACTTTATTTTGGTATCCTGATACAGATTTCAGATGCTAACTTAAGGCATTTGGTTTTGAAAAGTCATGTTCCATGACTGATTACTGTGTATAGCTATAGCTCCTTAGTGGGAAAATTATGGAATTCTGGAAGTTGGTAGGAAAGCAACTGTAAAACGATATCCATGTAGCTAGGTAACATCAATATTGTGCAGTTACATTGACCATTGCTCCATAGATTATATGCAAATTTGAACCTAGTAGTTCATACTTAGGAAAAACACACAACAAATCATGAATGATAACAATTTATTTCCCCAAAGTGGGTCAGATATGTCTTAAGGACTATTCATCTTTTAATCATGGGCACACACAGATTTAAGAGTCATTCACGACAGGAAAAAATGATGACGAGCAAATTGAAGTATAAAGAACTTATTTGAACACCTATGAACTTCTAACTCTTCCTTTGGAACTGTGGGTAGTTAAACCAGCCCATACAGGCTCCTCCAAGGCTCCACATCAAGTCAGCTGCTTGATCCCTTACAGCCAGAGATGCTTACTGAATGGAAGGACATGTATGAGTGAATTGCTCCAGGAACAAAGTGCTCAGCCTTTTTAAACTAGAGCGAACCTCCAGATAGACTTGAGGCACCCCCTCAGAAAATGCCAGCTCTTAATTTTCACTCTTCTTTTGCCTACAGAAAAATAATACAGAAGTTTTTCCATTGCAAAGAATTCAGAAAGAAGAAAGACCACAACTACAGATTTCTATTTGAATCTCTAGATTTATCGTGTGAATCATGCCATGGCAAGCTGGTAGAGAATCACTTGCCTTTATGCTCTTAGGGCCTGTTTTCACTGGTAAGTCTGCCTGATGGTAAGAAATGCTTGCAGGTTCAGGCCCATGCACAGTATAAAAAATGCAATGCAAACTCAACACAATGCACGCTGAACTCCGCCATCAAGGACCTGAAGAGTTAAGGAATCTAAAAATTAACTGACAATGAATACTGCATTCTAACAAACTTCTAATTGATCACATGGGACAACATCTTCAGAAAAGCCTAGGACCAGATTTGCAAGTATTCGGTACACACAACCGGGACCGGATTTTCAAAGAGCTTAGGATCAGCAAACCAAGCTTTTCAAGAATCTTTGCTTTTCTTCTCTAACTGGTAAATGAGTTCTTTTGAAAATCTAGCCCTGGAACAGAGCACAACATTGTTGCAGTAGTGTTTGTGTGCCTAAAAGTGCATGTGCACACACACAGTGTTTATTATTACTTTAAAAAAAGCACAACAGAGGAACTAGACTGGTTGGTTCATTTATAAAATCTGATCTTAAATGTACAAGAAAATATTCCCAGTCTAAAATAAACATTCTTGACACGGCCCCAACTGACATTAAAAGGCAAGAAAGCTTTTCTTTCTCTCTCTGCTGTGGTAAGGCTCTTGACAGACATATTTGCATCTGAACAGCCAGCTTTTGCCTGCCAGCTATTTTGAGGAAGCCAGCCACACACAAATGCTTAAGCTTGCAAAAGAATCAGGCAGAAACTTCAAGACTTCAAGGCCCTGCTACATGTTCAAATGAAAGCTGGATAGAAACCAGCTATAGAGTTGTTACACCGTTCCCAGCACTAACTTTAGAGCTAGCGGACTCTTCTTATAGCTGGAGAGTCATTTTTATCCTGTAATAATGACTGCATGTATGGCTTGTCTAAATTTATTGCATGACTATTATTTATTGCATAACCAGTTCATTGAGCGATGATCACTTTGCATTTGCGGCCCCTATTTGCACCTGTGGCTGATCTAAATTTATTGCACTATTCACCAGTCAATTGCATAATATACGCAACGGGTAGCAGGGGCCTCAAGAGGAGCAGATCGCATCCTGCACCACATTTTCCTTTCATAAAAGTAGCTTGGGAAACCCCGTGCCCTCAGCACCGGCTGGAAGAGCCTGGACTGATTCCCAAGCACCTGCAAACAGCTTCTGCAAATACTTTTTTTGAGTTTTTGGCAAAAAATGTCAGTTTTTAGTTTAGTTATCGTCCACGTTGTAGTTATCTTCCATGTTTCGGGGTGCAAGTTGTAGCCGTGTTGATCTAAGGACATAGGCAGACAAGGGTCTTTGGGTAAATCCAACATCTTTTCTTAGACCGACTGAAATAGTTGGAAAAATTCAGATTTTTTAAAATTAGACTTTTCCCAACTATTTCAGTTGGTCTAAGAAAAGACACCGGATTTACCCAAAGACCCTTGCCTGCCAGGTATAGTTAAGGAGGCCAGGCTGACCCCCACTACCACCGAGGCCACTGGGAAGAGCCCACAAGCGATGCATGGTGCTTTACTGTCCCTCTCCCCCGCACCACGCATGCGCAACTTCCCTCCCGCTCAACTCCCTTCCAACCCCAACCCGTCAGGGACAGCCTGCAGTGCGCATGCGCCTCTCGCGGCTAGGTTGTTTACTCCAGGAGTGGGCGGGGTCTGGCGACGAGAGCGGTTGGATGACGACAATTCCGGACATGCGCGGTGGGTCTGCGGCTGTGCGGGGCGGAGGAGCGCGGGCGAGTGCGCTATGTGTGCCCTGTAGCGAGCGGCGGGGTGCGGGGTCGTGCCGCCATGAACCTGCGGGGCTTGTTCCAGGATTTCAATCCCAGGTGAGGCGGTGCGGCGCGGCGCGGCGCGGCCCGGCCGGGGGGGGGAGGGTGGATGATGGGAGCTTCCGGTTCCTTCCCCCTCTCCCACCGCCCTCACGGCTCCTGCGGGGCTTCGGGCCAGTTTCTGGGGTTGGGGGGTACACAGTCCTTTCAAGCAGAGAGAGGCATCCAGACTGGTGGCAGAGGTGACGATGTCTCTATGAGACCAACCAGATATTTGCAACAGCAAAAATTTGCAAATAAATAAAAAAAATGTAAAACCTAGTTTTCTTTATTTGCAAGCTTTTTTATTTATTTATTTATTTTTGCAAATATCTACAGGCAGCCACTGCTTAGCGCTGTTTTGGTATACCGCTCATTTTACGCTGGTACCCGATTCCACTTGACACTCGGCCAGTTTCGTTGTGGTGCTCCCTGCCATGGGTCATCCCAAACTTTCAGTTTTGCTTCATGCTCAGTTTATCAGGACCCAATTGAGAGTGCTAAGCAAGGGTGCGCTTGGTAGCTGTGTTGATCAGAGACGAGAAGACCCGCAAAAAACTAGAACTCTTGGTTCCAAAATGATACCTTTTATTCTACCAACTGGGAAACAGCAAGAAAATTGTCCTTTTCTGCAAGCTTTCGGAATCAAAGTCCCTTCATCAGGGTCTGGGAAAAGTATAGATGATACAAGGTGATAAAAAAGTCCCCAGAGGTAGGAAATACACTTCATTTCTGCACAGAGGGAGCTGGAGATGGAAAGCCGTCTCCCTCGGAGCTGTGCTGAATAGCTCTTAGATGTGTAGATCAGGGACAGTTTCTTCCCTGGAGGTGCCAGGTGGCAGGCAGGGAGGGAGAAAATCTTTTTTGTTCTGCGGTGAAGTTTAAAATCCAAAATTGGCTTTTAAAATTTGGCATCTTCCATGGTTCGCTTAGCGCTATTTTGCTCTAACTCTTATTTTAAATTGATACCTGATTTCACTTAGCGCTCAGCAAGTTTCACTATAACGCTTGCGGTCACCATCTTGGGTCATCAAATACTTGAGGTTTCGCTTAATGCTCATTTCACTTAACACTCAGTTTTTCAGGAGCCAATTAAGAGTGCTAAGCGGGGGTTGCCTGTAGTTGGTGTAATAAAAGATATCACCTCTGCTGAGAGTTTTTGCTTCCTTTTGCTTCTAGATCAGTATTTCCCAATCTTTTTAGACCGCAGACCAACAAACTGCAGACCAGAAGTGACTGGCATATGGCAGACTGGCAGCCAACCCTTTTTTATACTTAGCATTAGACAAGGTTGGCTGCTGGTCCATAGCATGCACTTCTGGACTTCTAGTTGGGCAGCCAACCCTTTCCAGCCCGGTACCAGGCCGTGGCCAGGGGCTTGAGAACCTCTGTTCTAGACTAGTACGGCTACAACCTGGGAACCTGACAAAATAGAGAGAGAGAGATTTCAGGTCCATAGTGTCAAAAACATTGTGACCTGCTGGAGTCTTTCTACGTTCTTTGCAACAGGAGAACTGTTCTGTTGTTTTCCTGTCATCAAAAAAGCAGTGAAAGCATAAGGGCTGGCATTTCTGAGGTGTGCCTTAAGCCTAAGAAGATTGAGAACCACTGCTGCAGACCTTTTTCTCACTATTTGAGGATTTGTAGGCTCTAGACTTATTAGATGATCTGGCCTGATTTTTCTGTACAATCCAGTGCATAGAATTTTACTTGGAATCCCTGGGTGTATGCAACTAAAGCATGCGTTGCAGACAGCCAGCCAGTCTATGTTTCAAAGAGTAAAAGGAAACTTTCTTTAAAAAGGGAAGAAAAATATTTGCCAGACTGCTCTCTTGTTGGCACCTGGTAATGTGCAACTGCTTTACAATTCAGGGAGTTTGGGGGAGAGATCTCCCCACCCCCCAAAAAAAAAAAAAAAAAGGCCAAATGTCAAATTTAAATAACTTTTCCTTTCTAGTCTCAGGTTTAAGCTAGAAAAAAAAGACTATCCTGAACATTTTAGCACACGTTAAATGTACCAAATGTTAAAGACAATGCCTCAAGCATGAGACACTTCTGAAGTGTTAAAATCTGGTAGCATTACACTGTTTAAATCGTGGAGGAGACCAAGTGTGAGTGAGGGTCCACTCGAGATAATTGGCGGTGCGCAGTCTGTCAGAGTTTGGGAACCGCTGCTCTAAAGTGTAGCCCCAGTGTGGATGGGGGATTTCTGCAGCATCGGCCCCCGAGGTAGGAATTATTAGAGGAAGCAGGAGAGTGAGTTGAACAGTTTCACCTTTGCCCTGTGTTCCCAGGTTTGCTATTGCTATTGCTGGATGTCTTAAGACAGTTGGGTCAAAGTCGTACAGGACAGGACGGCATCCTGGAAGTTCTGAAGAACAGGGTTCATTAAGCATGGCTAACTACAGGCTTTACGTGATTACAGTTGTACTTTTAACAAACTGTACTTGATTGCCTAGAAAAAAATAGTGCAAAATGATAAATGCTTCAGGCAGTATACTCATGCAAAGAGACTAAAACAAATTAACTGCAGATGCACCATGTCAAATGCTGCTGAGGCAGGAAAAGAGCTTTTATGAAGTTTGAGTTGTTTTGTGGTAGAGGTTTTTTTTTGGTGAACCATAACTTGAAGTATAATTGAAAGTAGCCTAACTAAGCAATTTAGGAGTTCAAGTCGCCACTTTGTCTGCTTCCCACCCTAAAAGTTTTGATCTTCTGATAAACCTTTGTCACCCCTGCATAGTAATGTTCTGTTTGTTTTCTAGTGGGGAGAGGGGAAATGTATCTGGAAATAACCTGTAAATATTTTTAATAACATATGTTTAGAAAGTCATATCTTGACTTTTTAGTCAGCATCATAATGTATGTTGGTACCTTGAGGTAGCCTCAGCGAATATACCACAGAACACTGAAACAGTGAAGTTGTTTTCTGCTATTAAAAATGAGCTGAGGCATTTGTGCTGAGGAGAGACAAACCAGCATTGTTACCTAAACCAGGAGGTGCTGATCTTGTGAATGTTTCTTGTATTAGGACATTATGATAATGTAGAAGTCTGGCTTAGTAGGTTATTTTGTACAACTACATTGTATTTCTGACTTCACTGCTGGACTAGTCATTTAATCTCTGTTCTTTAGTTTACCAAGATGTAAAATACATATAATCATTTACTCATAGAGGTGGTGTCGAAGCCTAATTGTGTGTTACAGAGCACCTTGAGATCCTGAGGTGAAAAGTGCTTTCGGTACAAATTATTTTTGTCTTTGTACAGTAGCAAATGAATTCTTCGTGTCATTATTTTGCCTGTTTTATGGTATAGTGACAGATTGTTGTGTCACTGTATTCTGAGCATGTGAGAATAGTTTTGGATAGTTTTATAAAATGTGCTGGCAAAGCGATTTTAAAATTCAAGGTACCATTGCATTTATTTTACATTAAAATCTTTAAAAAATATTGGGACTGCAATATCCTTGCATGATTAGTGAGTAACATTCAAGGTTCTTGATATAGATTACAGTGAGGAGTTCACAGGTAAAGATTTTCTTGGTTGGTACCAGTAACTGATGATTAACCAACCATGCTGGCTGATGCCAATCTGATAACCAATATTTAGTAGTAGTGCAAGGCATTTTAAACTGCTGACATAAACCGTTTTTTTTTGTTTGCTTTGCGTTTATAACACATATGAGGCTCCTGCCTGCTCCAGCCCTTGACAAGGAACACAGTGACTGCCTTACTTCCATGCACATTGCCCCCTTGCCCATGGCTCCTACTCACAGCCCCACTCCCTGTGTACCCTCACTGCTGTCCTGGGCAGGCAGGGCAGACCCTCATTTGGACAGCGACACTGGGTGCGTTTGGAGCCCTAGAGCAGCCGAGCTCCTGCAGATGCTGGGGAGAAGCCACTTTTGCAAAGGTGCCTGGTGCCCAGCAGAGCACAGTGCCCCTCACATGGCACCTTACCTCACCCATGTGCAGCCCGACATCTGTGGCAGCCCTGGCATACAGGCACCTGCTGTGTATGTGGCATTGCCATGGCAGGAGCCAGTAACAGCCCCTTCGTTGCTGAGCGTGGTACCCTGTGACCACTTCCCAGCACCTCCTCCTGCCGCTCGCCAGGACTTGTAGTCTGCCATGGGCTCAGGCCGGCAGCAGGGCACAGAGACTGGACTGTACTCACCAGGGTGCTTCGTGCACACAGCTGTAATTACCGGCTGCAACGAGCAAAAAAATCCAATAGCTGATAATGTCATTTCTCCTTTTATTGGTACCAATAACAAACCAGTATATTAATGCACTCCTAATTACAATTATTACTTGTTGATTTATACTGCACCCAGTGTATTTTCCAGAAATGTAATTTGTTGAATTTCAGAAAATTGTCTATTTAAGCAGGGTATATCCAAAAGCTATATTGTAGGAGGAGAAGTACTTTAGAAGTCCACTTGTATCCCGGACATTTGCCTTACAAACATGCTTTTAATGTATTCCTTTGAAGCAATGGCTGTAGTGATGGGTGAGGTGGCATAGAGTAATGCATTTCAAGATGAATAAAGCTCATCATGAAAAGTGACTTGACTGTTTAAAAGTTGTTGGTTATAGCTGTATTGGTCTTTTATTGGACTAACTAAATAAATTTAAAGAAATGCAACAGCCTTAGTTTTTTGCTGTGTTAAGCAACAGTCTGGTTCAGAATTGCCACGTGCAAACAAAGTGAGTGTTGACTAAACTGGGTGTCCTTTGCTTGACAGACACTTTGGTAAAGAATCTACCTTAACTTCTGAGTTGTTTATCTTTCTCTTTTTTAATAGCAAATTCCTTATCTATGCCTGTCTGCTGCTATTCTCAGTTTTGCTTTCACTCCGTTTGGATGACAAAATACAATGGAGTTACTGGGCTGTCTTTGCTCCGATATGGCTATGGAAGCTAATGGTTATAGTTGGTGCCTCAGTAGGAACTGGGGTATGGGCACGAAATCCGCAGTATCGGTAAGTTGTGAACTCTTATTTTCCAAGTAAAATAAAGAAATGCTTATCCTTATTGAATGAGCCTCTTAAGCACTTTTTGATAGCTTATTGAATTAGTTATATTAAAAACATAGCCTGCCTGGTGGTGTTTAAAAGTAATAATTTTAGTACACAGGTCTTGAAAACACAGCTTTTGCCTCCCTGAACACTTTCAGTCTCAATAACAATTTCTTGCAAACTGCAGAGATACTATCTAGACACATTAGATTAAAACCTCATGGGTTTATCTCTACCTTTTGTACTCATTTCAGTATAATGATTTTTAAAATTATTCCAAGTAAACAAATGCATCCCACTCCTGTGGACCCAGTTATAGCTCTGAAGGTGATTATTGCAGCATAATTTATTTCTGTATAATCCAGGGGTGTCAAATTTGTTTGGCCTATGGGTCCATGGGGCTCCTTTACAGGTCAGATTTCGATACACCTCTGGCAGTGAGGTGAGCAGTGGCAGCGTAACGCACCTGGTTGTCTGAGCCACTGTCTTGGCTCAGGGAGCCATGGGGGTTAACACCACTGTTGCTTGCCTGCCAGAATGAATCCCGCACAGTAGGCACCCATACCTGGGATGGACTTGTCACAGTCACCAAAACAACAAGTCCCCAGTAGGGATCCATACCTTGGATTTTGGCAGCAGGGCAAGCAATGGCCGCTGTGTCAGCTCAGGAACCTATGAGGGTTAATGTTGCCACTTGCCACTCCTGAAATCCTACCCCTCCCAGGCACTCATGGGCTAAAGCAACCTATTTTGACACCCTGGTATATCCTAACATAAGCATCCCTGTAAATATTATGGGGTTACACATGCTTAACTGGATTTCATTTACTATTTATTTCAGTAAATTGATTTAGAAAAATTCTTCTAGCCTAGGGGTGTCAGACTCATTGGTCCATGCCCTGACCAGCATGTGGGGCTGATCTGTCATGTGTTGCATGTGAGTCCAGGTGTAGTTCCATGGACTGGCTCTGGCCCATGGGCCATGTCTTTGACACCCATTCTAGATCATCCTTAAGTATGTCTGCTATCCTTGGAAGAAGCTCAGCTGGATGAGTGCATGCCTTTGCTTGTTGTTTTCAAACTTCAGTTGTCAAGTACCAGATTTCCTGTTTTATTAAAAGATGAAAAGGTAGAATTTGTCTAAACTGAGATCCTGTTCTTGCAGATGGCAGTAGGTAGGCTAACTGTTTTAGCATCACCCTGCCTGTTGATCTTCATTTGACTTGGCACAGGTTGTGCATGCCTACAGTTTAAGATTGAGACCCATGTATTGGGTAAGGTTCCCCCTAGATAAAGAAAGTTGTCAAAGCAAAAAAGGTTTTCTTCCCTCCTACAGTGCCGCCTAACTAAACTTTCTCCCTTGGTGTTGATACCACCCTAGTCTGTTAAAACTTAATGAATTGTAATTGCATGTATTGATAAAATGCAAGCAGCTGTTTTGAAAAGTCTCAAGCAGTAAACTAGTTGCTTTCAGTATGGTTCCTCTGATACCAAAGTAATACCCATAATATTACTAGTATAGCGCTGAAAGGACTGTATAGGAATATATTTGTAAGTAGTTTTGCAGGTTTTTGTATTGGAGTACTAAACATTCTAATGTAAAAATATTCTTATATTGCAGCCCTACTTGTGAACTTCATAAACCGTATTAATTCAGATGTGTGTTTTCATGAGAAGCACTCCTACCTTAATAACTTAAATGTGAACTATTACATGCAAACCAGTAGATTCACAATAACAAATTTTCATTTCATTACTTTTAAGCCAGGCTCACAGTTATCTTTGTCACGTTTTCCAAATTGATCTTCAGGACTTCATAAAGCCAAGAATAAGACCAAAGACAATAATCTGTATTTATGCCTTTAATGTGGTGCCAGTTAGAGGAGATGAGAAAAAAACTGAGTGCCATTATGTCAATATAATAGTAATTTGCAGATGTCATTTTACTTAATATGTATAATAGTGAAAATGATTGCTATCTCTCTGGCATATAAAGATCGCATTGTGTTGGGCTGTATAATTTGATTTATTATATCTTTGTCTTTTTATCTAGTTTAAGAAAACACATCACTATTTTTCGTAACACCTTTTGATCTTGAAATTATAATTGAATGAATTATTTCTATGTTGAAAATGTGTTATGTAAGTTCAAGATGATCTCATTGAGACCAGAAGTAGTCAGTATACCAATAGTTCATAAATTTAGAAACCATCCTGTCAAGGAGTGGTTCTATCTGTAAAAGAGAAAATGCATATTCTATTATTAAAAAAAAGTGCAATAGGCCACTCCTTATTCTGCTAAGAGAGGTTTGGGGCTGGTCAAAAATATTCCAACCGAGGGGGGGGGGGGTTTCTTGGAGGATGCTGATTTAAGAGACTCGGCACACTTCATAAAACTTACTAATTCAATTGGAAGCTTTGATAAAAACCAGACAGGCAGGCTGGCCTGCATGCTTTCCTGCCAGCCCAACCTCCTGCAAACTGTCCAGGGAACAAGCTGAAAAAATCTGTCTTGGTTCTCTGAAAAGTGTGCGTCAGGAATTTGCTCTTGTGGAAATTTTTTAATTTGTGTTTTGATTTGGCTTTAAAGTTTTTTTGGGTTTTTTTCATTTTATTTGAAGTTTCAAAAGAGAGCAATTCTGTTCCAAAAATGATATAAAAATGTTGGCCATCATTTGTATAATATCAAATGTCTACATGGCACCGGATAGACATAGATTATTTTTACATTGTTTTGGAATGTCTGCATGAGTGTGTTCTTTATACAGTTGCATGGATTTTGATTGCTCTCATATCCCTCTTTAGAGCAGAAGGAGAAACGTGTGTGGAGTTCAAAGCTATGTTAATTGCAGTAGGCATCCACCTGCTGCTGCTGATGTTTGAAGTTCTGGTATGTGACAGGATCGAGAGAGGAACTCATTTCTGGCTTCTGGTCTTCATGCCATTATTCTTTGTATCTCCAGTGTCAGTTGCAGCGTGTGTCTGGGGCTTCCGACATGACAGATCTCTCGAGGTAATACTGTATATTCATAGTAGCATTTATGACTCTGAGTGATAGAAAACTTTTTTTTCTATACTGATCACTCTGAAGAGTGATTTATCTGTCAGAGTCCTTTGATGACCAGTACTGAAAACCCAGTATAGAAATTCTTTCAACATCAATTTTTCCTAATTAAGTTATCTTTTACTAAGAATGTATTAAATTGCATCATGTTCTAAACCTGTCTTTATCCTTAACTAACCTAAAAAAACAGTGCACTACAGAAGGGTTTGACTTGAGAACTAATTTTGGACACTTAAAGTGAGTTTAGTGCAGACCTGTTTTCAGAAGATTGATAACAATTGGTAGGCTTGTTATGACCTTTAAAACTCTATTGTTAGATGAGGTGACTAGGCATTTTCTAATGTGCGGGTATACTGAGTTCAGCACATTCTGGAGAAGAAAGAATGTTATGGAAGTGTCTGTCTGGGTAGCTTATGGATTATAATTTTGGATGCCTAGAAACCTGCTGATATTAAAACATTTTCAAATGGAGTTTCAGTCTGATTTCTGTTTCTAACACTTCTTAAAATGCAGTCTGTGTGGAAGTAATCATTTTCTAGCAGGTACTTGATTACCAGATGATTTACAAGACGGTAGCACAGCCAATAAATATTAGTAAATAAAAAATTGAATCCCCTCACTCGTAAAAGGGCACAGATCTCTCAAAGGGAATATAAATTACACATCTAGAGCTCCAACTCATTTTTCCACTACTGTTCTCTGTGTGTTTTTTCATGCTGTTTTGCTTTCCTTCCGTTTTCCCTCAAGTTTTACCTTTTCTGTTTGCCCTCATTAAATGAAGCTCTTCACGTGCACATCACACCTCATATGTCTTTACTGCAGAAACTTTTGTAATGTTGACTAAAATATAGTCAACATTATATAGAAAGTAATCTGTTTAAATTCGCTGATGACACCAAAATTTGGGGGGAGGTGAGCACGCTAGCAGGGAGGGAGAGATTGCAGAAGGATCTGGATAGGTTACAGGGGTGGGCTAACAGGAACAGGATGCGTTTTAATACGGACAAGTGCAGGGTGCTGCACTTGGGCAGTAGGAACCAGCAGCACACTTACACAATGGGGAACTCCCTACTTGAGAGCACGGAGGCAGAAAGAGATCTTGGAGTCATTATTGACTCCAAGATGAACATGGGCCGACAATGCGAGGTCATGGTTGGCAGGGCTAACCGGACCTTGTCATGCATCCACAGGTGCATCTCGAGTAGAGCCAAGGAGGTGATCCTCCCCCTCTACGCGACGCTGGTCAGGCCACAGCTGGAGTATTGTGTCCAGTTCTGTGCGCCCCATTTCAAGAGGGATGTGGACAACATGGAGAGGGTCCAGAGGAGGGCCACCCGCATGATCCGGGGACAACAGGGCAGACCCTACAGTGAGAGACTGCGGGACCTGAACCTATTCAGCCTCCACAAGAGAAGGCTGAGGGGGGACCTGGTGACCGTCTATAAACTCACTAGGGGGGACCAGAAGGGTTTGGGGGAGACGCTGTTTCCCCTAGCGCCCGCTGGCATAACAAGGAGTAATGGGCACAAGTTGATGGAGAGGAGGTATAGATTGGACATCCGCAAGAACTACTTCACAGTTAGGGCGGCTAGGAGCTGGAACCAACTTCCAAGGGAAGTGGTGCTGGCCCCTACCCTGGGGGTCTTTAAGAAGAGGCTGGATGCCTACCTGGCTGGACTCATTTGAGTCCCGTTTTTGTTTTGGGGTTTTGTTGTTCTTCCGCCCTGGCGGGGGGGCGGGCTAGAAGATCTACTAGGTCCCTTCCGACCCTAAATCTATGAAACTATGAAACTATATGAGAGTTGTTTAACTGTAGTTATTATAAAATAGATACTTTGTGACTGGTCTAAGCCAATATGAAATAGCATACATTGTCTAATCTCTGGGCAATACTGACATCTTAGAGGTACTTTAGAAATTTGCATCTTAATTTTAAAAGAGAAAATTATTTCCTTTATTTTTTATTTTCTTTCTTAAATGCCAGGGTTCTCACTGCGTCAGAGTTAATTTTTCTGGTCCCCTAAACTTCTACCTACTGTGGTAGGTCAGTAAACTTTGGGAAACAATGTTGCCAACTCAGATGACATTTCATTTTTTACCTCGTTTTTTTGAGCTAATCATAGCTGTCAATTCTCAGTACCACTTAGTATTAGTTTTAAAATACAAATTTTATTTCTGCTGAAGCCTGAAATAATGGTGAATGGAATGCTAAAAGCTTTCATTGATTTTTTTATCATTATTATTTTTAATGCAACTAGTATTTATTATAGCTGTGTGGCATATTGAAGATGTCATTATTTTAATTACACAACAAACTGTATATAACGTGAATATCCAGTCCGCTCAGTGCTGCTTATACCATTTCATTTTATATAGGACTGTGATTCAGGGCAGACCAACTTGGTTTCAATTTCACATTCTGGCTGCCCTGCACTAGCAAAATGTAATGTTTGACCTACTGTTAAGTACTAAAGGGAATGTCATAGTGGGGAAAAAAAGCAATAACAAACTGTAATTAAAAATAGTTGTGCAAAGCATAAGTTTATAAATAGAAACAAATTTATATTTTATTTATTTAATTATAATCTGATAAAATAGTGTTCTTCCTACTTCCATTTCCAGTGTTTAAAACTGCTAACATTTTTAACTGACCGGGAGTAAAGATGATTAAATGCAAAGACATATGATCCATTTTGATTTTTTTTTTCCATCTTCAGTTTATAACAGGTAAAACTAAAATAGGTATTGTATATATGGAAGGGCAGATGACTAATATTATATAGCTATATGCTAGACTAAGTTGTGTTCAACGTTTAAGCACTATATGCTGAGCCATAAGTGTTCTGTCTTATATTTTGGGCTGTGTGTTTATTAATAGTGCTCAGAGGTGACTCTAATGTCTCTCTCTTATTTCTAGCTGGAAATTTTGTGTTCTGTCAATATTCTCCAATTCATATTTATTGCACTCAGGCTAGATGAGATCATCAGATGGCCATGGCTTGTACGTAAATTTAATTTTCTTTTATATCCTCACTTTTAAATGTGGAGTCTTTATGGAAACATTGAATATGCTCAGCTCAGGTGTGATCTCATTTCTGTTGATTTGCTTATCCCGTAATTTTTCACCAAATGGCTAGTTCAGGAAACCTGTGGAGATAGTTTACTTTCATCAGAGGACAACTTTTCATTCAAGGGGATTAAGATGGTGTTGTCACCATGTACAGTCAATCTCTGATCAAATGTTAAGGAAATAACATAGAAGGAAAATTGCTGTTCAGATAGTAAGACCATGACATGGATGGGAAATGCTTGTATAGAAACAGTATTGTAGTAAATACTGGGAGATTTTTGCTTTCTCAGTTAGTATCAACAAAAATCCAGTTACTCTATAGAGTTAATCTTAAAATATACTGAAGTCTGAAACTTCAAAATGGCCCTAAAGGATACAAAATCTATTTTTTATATGTGGACTTAGTGTGAATAGATGTCAAAGTTAATGTGATAGTATGGCCACGTGCCCTTCTTGCTTTGGAACTAGAGTCAAGAATGAACCTGAAAAGGATTAAGAAACTTGTTTAGCAAAGGGATCTAGCAGAGAGCCCCCATTCATAGTGTCTAGTCCCCTTTTTGTTGAAATGGAATTAGTCTGAAGTGATTTTAAATTGTTTCAGCTAATTTTGTTAAAGATCCTGTCTAGACAGGTTTTAAGAAGCTTATCTGCTAAACAGAGACATTTGATACAGTACTTAGTGTGGTGCATGGTTCATGAAGCTTTCTTATTAAAGAAGTAATATTAAAGGCAAAGTATTGCAGATCTACAACAAATTACTTGAATCTACTTGGCAGTCTTGCTAAAAATTGCCCCCAAACTAATGCAATAATTTGCCCAGGAGGAAAAATAGCTCAGGACATCTTTCTCTTTCAGGTTGTCTGCGTTCCTCTGTGGATCTTGATGTCGTTTCTGTGTCTGGTCGTGCTCTATTACATTGTTTGGTCTGTCCTGTTCTTGCGGTCAATGGATGTGATTGCCGAGCAAAGGCGGACGCACATAACGATGGCGATCAGTTGGATGACAATCGTTGTTCCGTTACTCACGTTTGAAGTAGGCAAATATTTTATCTCCTATGTTTGAATTACAGTGAGAATTTGAAGTTGCTTTATTAATCAGTTTCCTACATTTGCCCAGTTTTGATGTAATTAAAGATGCTTTTTAACTTTATAGAGGGAAAGATAGTTTTTAAGAAATAAGGATTTTTGTCAAGTAAAAAGACATCATAATTCACACAGGCATTGGAAAGATCTTCTATTTCATATCTAGGCTATGACTTAATGTACTTGTAGAAGAAGTGTACTTAACAGATAAATTGTGTTAAAGGTCTGAGATGAGAGGAGCTCTGCATAGGTGCACCTATCTACTTGTTCAAACTAACTGGGTAAATTGAGACCCGGAGTTTAAGATTATGTTTGTATTGCAATCAAATTGATATCACTTTTTTCCCATTAGATTTTACTTGTGCACAGACTGGATGGACATAATGCATTTTCATTTATACCCATATTTGTCCCACTTTGGCTGTCTTTGATAACATTAATGGCAACAACCTTTGGACAGAAAGGAGGAAATCACTGTAAGTATCCAAAAATATGCAGTATTAGATTTTTAAAAGCTTATGTTATCCTCAAATATTGAACATCAGAACGTAGTGCATTTCTGGAAAGGCTCAGTAAAAATACTTGTTATACAAATACTTCTAGAAAGAAAAAGGACTAGAAAAAAGGTAGAATGTCTAAAACAGTTTTAAGTACTCTATTCTGAAGATTTTGCAGTAGGGATTTTATGTAGGGGCCTTTCAGTGGATTGGAAGGTGGTATGCCTTGCACTTGCGTTGGAGGTATTTTGCAGCATTTATTTGTACTACTTGTTTATAGACTACGAACACTGTGGGCTCTTTCGTGTTGAAAGGAACCAAATGTAGTGTGTTATTGTAGTAAAATTCTGCCTAGCTGTGAATACGCTAATAGTTGTTTTTAGATTGCAGGCAGCTTTCATATTCAGCTATTATACCAGACATTTCTGTGCTGCAACTGCAGAAGAAATAGCATTAAGAAATTTTCAGTGCTTAAAATATCTTTTCACTATCATTGATGGTTTAAAACCTATTTAGCCCCATTACAATGTATATCTTAGCTTCATGGTGTCTGTCTTCCAGTGTGAATGAAGCAGGTCTTGTTAGGCTTTAGACATGAAAACCTTGAAGCATGCAGCAGCCTGATAGAGTATTTGGGGACAGCTGTAACATTGGTTGAAGTCACCAGAACTTAAGGCAGGGTGGTGCTATCAAGACTGAACCAGTTAGTCTCTGACATGTCGCACTGCCCTGTCTTCCTTGGTTTCAGTCTAACATGGCTAACTACCTTTCTGCTGATTTAAAGTGCAGCCGTATCTAACTCTTTAATAAGGCTGTACGCTGTTGCTGCACATTCATGTTCTGCAGCACCTAATGAAGGTGAACGAGTATGATATGATACTGTACCATTCAACCCAGATAGTTCCAATGGGGTTAAGTTAAATGCATCATTGAAATATGGCAGCTGACACCATGTGTGATATCACCCTTCAAGAATAACATGGGTCTCCAGTAGCAAGCAGGCAGGATCTTGGCTTAATATAAAGGAGGGGAGGGGAGGCTTCAGTGGAAACATTGCCTCACGCTAGGTTTTGGCATTATTAATTCATGGAAGTGTCATGCATTAGCTAACCAACACCAGTTACTTGAACGATTTAGAATTGTGTATACTTGTGCAACAAAATATGTGATTGTAGATGAGGTGAATATACTTCTGCTAGCTACATTAGCAGTGAAGATAGTAGACTCTGCTTTCACCACACACTGTTGTTGCTAGCTTAAGTCTTTTGAAGACCATCGGTACCTGTTTTGCCAACCTGGGCTGAAACCCGTGCTATTGCATGTGTGCTGCTATTGTTGTCTATGTTGTGAGATTTAACTTAGCATTATATTTCTACCTCTGCTTTAAGTGCACCTTCATTTTGCTGAACAGCTATACCTTTTTGGCTACCTCCCACTCCACATAATGATCTAGCCTGACCCTGTATAACCTATAAAATCTGATGGGATTTTGCTTCATGGTACTATGGCTGCAAGCTAATACAATTTGAATTTGCAGTACTGTGTATTATACATACTATATCATGTAAGCAACCTTTTGTAAAGCAGCGCTTGTTGTTTATTTATAGGAAAGAGTTCTGTATGAATAATTAAATATAATTTAATGAGAGCTTAATTAAAAGAAGAGATTGCTTAATCGTATTACTTGATTAAAATTTGATATCCTTTAGGAGTGAAATCTAAACCTCTTACAACTTTTCAGGGTGGTTTGGAATTCGCAAAGACTTCTGTCAATTCCTGCTTGAAATTTTCCCATTCTTAAGAGAGTATGGAAATATTTCTTACGATCTGCATCATGAAGATAATGAGGAAGCAGAAGAAACACCTGTTCCAGAGCCTCCAAAAATTGCACCAGTGTTTCGGAAAAAGACTGGAGTGGTCATCACCCAGAGTCCTGGGAAATATGTTATTCCACCTCCCAAGATAAACATTGACATGCCAGATTAAGGTCATTTCAAAGGTGAATTGATACCACCCCCATGAAACTGGAACTGGGAATCAGCAGCCAAACGTATTTCATCTCATGCCTTGTTTGAATTTCTTTTAAGGATAGATATTTGTGGATTAGTAGCTTGTGCTAAAGGAATTGAAGATTTTTTTTTAATATTGTTTTGAAACCTTTTCATGTTTGCTCAAAATCTCATGGAAGTTAATCAAAGTGGGAACAGTAATTGCAGTAAGGTTAACAGAAGGAAACAATCTTTGTCTAAAAATGCACCTATGAAGTCATGACTGAAGATACAACCCCCAATTCAGAAATGGGGAAAGCAAATGTAGCAAGATGGGCATTGAAAACTTGTAATTCCGTGGTCTGACCTCTCATGAGTGACATTCAGACTTTCCTACCCTCATTTAAGGCTTCTAAACATTGGGTTCCCAGTGTTATGGTGGGTTTTGAATGTGTTTGTTGTTCTGGTTTTTTTTTTAATCCATGAAGATAGGTGATTGTCTAAATTGTGAACCTTTTTATTGGATTGGTTACAAACCTGCCTGTATAGTATTTATATAAACACTTTAGCTTTGTAATATATTTGGTTCAAAGTCTAGTTCTGTACAGTATAAATATTATGTAAAAATATTTTTTTAAAAAGCCTGTATGAACTGCATATGCTAATACAGAAGATTGTCTTTCAAGTCTTAAATGTACACTTGGCTTCATTTCTGTTGAAGTACGATAGGCATGTAGTAGAACATTATTAGCATGTCTTTACCTTTCATTACATATTCAGACAAGATCACTATCTAACACCACAGGCACAGGAGTGTGGCACTTCTTACACGAGACTTGAAGGCTTTTGTTTTATATAGAAATGTATAACAGCTTATGTTATTTTGAGTTAGTAATGTAAATTATTATGTAAATAACCAGAACTTTTGCACTGGCTTGGGGGTAAATGTTAACATTGTGTTGCTTTTCTAGTTCTGTATTCAAATTTTACTGTTAAGCAGCACATTTTTCCTTCATTCTCCCCTTCAGCTGTTCAATAAAATATTTTCTTCTGCATTTTGTGCCAAACTATACTTTGTTTAAGCATTCAGCATTTGTTGGTTATCCTCACACCCATTGGTTTAGCTGTCATAAATATATCAGTGCCAAATTGCCAAAAATGTGTTATGCCCTGTGGGGGAGCAGTGGCTTATCTCTGAATGTTGTTTTTTTTTTAATTTCTTTCTTTCTTTCTTTCTTTCTTCATTATGGTGATTTTGTTTTGGTTTTTGTTGGTGGTTTTGGTTTGTTTTTTTTTAGGGTAGGGGGGCAGGGAAGGGAACACAGAAGTAACCAGTTCAATATGATTCTCTTTTCCTACTATCTAAATGGGGTTGTAAGGCACTGCCTAGGCCCCTGTACTGTACAAACTATTCTACTCTCATCCTACCTGGGACTTGTGATGAGGCACCGCTTATTCTTCTTAAACACTTTCTACTTTGAGAAGAAGCTGCAATGAAAGCAGCTCCTGCTTCTACTCCACAGGAGCAGAGCAACAGACTGGAGGAGCGAAAAGCAGACTGAATTATTTCATTCCCCAGGAGGGAGAATGGATCAGAAGTCCATGATGCAGTAGGCAGCATCCACTCCTTTTGCTTTCGCTGGGAGAAGTGTTGAGATGTAGTTCTACCATCAAGCTCTGCCTCTCCCTAACAGTCCCCAGCATTTTACACAGACCAACTTCTTAAGAAGCAAAAATCTGCTCCTGCCAGAGAGCCCTGGGGGGATGGTTTTGGCAGCTGTTTTACAGGAACTTGCAAAGTCTCACATCGGATTGTTTAAATGTGATTGAAATCCTCACATTCACATTTAGTTTCTTGGAGTCAGCATCCGATTAGCGTAAAAAGCACTGCTGGGTGATTCTAAAGACTTCGCAATTGAACTTCTACCTCTGTTTCCAACAGCAGCACCACTGCAAGCTTTTTTCCTTCCTGTTATAGAGTGACTGGTTCTGGAGGATGACTAAATGCCAAACACTGTCCTATTTCTTCATGTTTCAGTTGCACTGAAACAAAGACTTGTAGATCTAAAAGCGCTATGCATTTAATAACTTGTCTGACCATTATCAGCTCATTTTGCTAGGAAACCATCATTGTTTTATGATGTCACAGCCATACATGTTGTTATCATTATGATGTTCTAGAACTTTTCATTGAAGTTCATTGAAAGCTAGCGTCACTTTAATATACTTGCTGTCTAGCAGCAAGAAGCTGAACTGATGCCATGGAAAAAAGTAGTCTAAGCGAGAAGGGAGGATTTGAAATGGACTTCTCTGTAGCAGAAACTGCATATGTTTCAGCTCAGGATGAAATGGTTAATTCTGCAATCTCTGTTTCTTCTGCCACTCCACTGTGCATTAAAACCGCAGCTGGTGACTCTCCTTTGAGGTCTATATTAGAAGAAAATACTTTTCAAGCTTTGAATGATGGGCCATGGGTAAAAAGACCGCGTCTTAATGTCTGTGACGATGGCCCCACTGAAGATAATGATTTTTTATCCCTCACCTTTCCGAACAAACTCTGGAAAATTGTTGAGAGTGATCAGTTTAAATCAATTTGGTGGGATCATGGTGGAAATTGTGTTGTGATTGATGAAGAGCTCTTTAAAAAGGAGGTGCTAGAAAGGAGAGGACCTTTGCGAATTTTTGAAACTGATTGCATGAAAAGTTTCATTCGTCAGCTTAATCTGTATGGATTTAGCAAAATGCGGCAAGATTTTCAAAGGTCTGCATCACTTGCTGAATTTCTAGCAGAAGAAAAAGCAGCTTCTGCCTTTAGCAAGGTAAAATACTAATATAGTTTATCCAAGCCACGGATGTCCCTTGCTTCTAAAATAATCAAATGGGTTTTGCATGTCAAAATAAAAGGCTTTGTTTTAAGTTAATCATCGTGATGCAAAGAATCAAGGATGAGGATGTGACGGACACTCTGATTTATCCATCACTCATCTTACAAATTATTTTCCTATATCAGAGTTCTCAAATTAATGACTGTTATTCGCTTAACACAGAAACGATCCTATAGTTTGCTTTTGCTCTTCCTTAAGCCATTGCAACAAAAATATCCTCTCGCTTCATTCTTACTTCCACTTATTACCAGATCTAACTGCTTTTGCTTTCTTGTGCCCTGAGAAATGTATGTGGCCAAAAAATTTCGTAAGGAAAAATGACTTTCATATGTTAATCACTGAAAATTAATGGGATTTTTACTCCTAGTGCACTTTGATGTTTATAGTTAAAATTGTCTTGAAGTTAGACCTGTAAAAGGAATATTACATTAAAGGTTCTTTTATGTTTCTAATCATCCTTAAATTTAGTAAAACTGAGTGTTTTTAAAATACCTTTTACCTTTTCCACTTTGCATTTTATTTGGCTTCTATAATCCAGGTTTTCTGGCTTTGTCTGCAGCACTGAATTTAGCCCTCAGAGTGTTTTAAAGTTAGGGAACTTTCACTTTTGAGTCCTGCTTCCAATTGTTTTGTACAATCTTTTATGCAGCCTTAATGTGGGATCTAAAAACCATGCCAGTCTCCTTTGTAATATTCTTGTCCATCTCATAATGCGATTGACTTGTGCTTTCCTTACTTCCTTACAGGGCGGTAATTAAATCTTTCTCCTTGCTTTTATCTAGTTACAGTTCTACCATAACCCAAATTTTAAGAGAGGCTTTCCAAATCTGTTGGTAAGGTGTAAGAGAAGAGTTGGCATCAGAAATACACCAGCAGTTGCTTTTTCATTGGATCAAGAGTTCAATGAGACCTGCTTTAGGAACGAGGGAACAAGTCCAGATGTTATGTCCACCTTGGGAAGTGCTGCCATGGAAGAGAATGACTTGCTTGCACCTGCTCCAAAGGAAACCCTGCAGGTACCTGGGTTAAGGAAGTCTACATCAAATAAAGGACTTATCAGAGCAACTACCCAACTCAAAAGTGGATTCACTTCTTCACCTGCAGCTTCACTGAGGCCATCGGAACATGCTACAGCAGAAGACGGTGATAAGTTAAATCAGCTGGCTCCGTTCCATTTATCGCAACATAACAGCCATAGCCAAGCCAGCAGCCAGGATATAGATTCCACTGCAACCACATCTGCTACTTCTTTATATCATGTCATACCTCCTGTCCCAAACAATCCTTTTGGACCTTTTAGAGGGCCTCCTGGTTTCCCAACCACATATCCAGATTTATCAGTGATGCAGGCTCACTGGGCTAGTTTGCTACCATTTTGTAACCCATGGTTCTCAATGCCCATGATTGCAGCAGCCTCCGCTCTTCCAATGTCAAGATCTTCTCATCACCGTGCTCCATCATACCATCACTGCCCTAACTGCAACTGCACATCTAATAATGCACCTCCTGGCAAAGGGACTGGACCCAAGCCTACTGATTATACAGGATATCACCGCTAAAGCAATGATTTTAACATTTCATATTCCAGGGGAATAAAGTCTGAAAAATCTGCAGTGCAATTATCTGAAGAATAAATCTCCATTTCTCCTATCTTGTTTATCTAATGTAATTCCAAATTTATTTTGTATTCCATCAACCAGGAACTATTTAACCAAAAGTTATTGGTCTGCTTTAGGGATTTCTAATTATTAGCAAGCTTGGATTTTTAAGGAAGAGAGCATAACAGTGGGTAATGGTCTTTCTAAAGATACTTTTTATGCTCATCCCTCACCTCTTGCTAGGGGGGAGAAGGGGTATGCTCAGCAAAGCTCAGGAGGTCTGCATCTCTCTTCTGTTAAGGAGGTGGTGTTATATGAAGGGCTGTATGAGTGTGGATGCATGAGGTGCGTATGTGCTATATGGAGGAAAGTTTCCTTCACCCTGTTACTGAGGCAATGATCTGTGATAAGATCATTCACTAAGGCTTCATCCAGAGACCAAGGCTTTGACCTGAGGATTTAAGCTAGACCTCAGCCACATGATACTCTTCCTTCTCGCAGTGTAATGACTCATTATTTTGCAATAGCAGATTTGTAACACATGCTCTGTTGGATGACCCACATTTTCAAGTGATTCATGTTAACTATCATAAGACTATAAACTTCATGCTAAGCATGTATTATTACTACAGAGTCTGGTACGGTCTCTGAGAGCGCGCCTAAATCAAATCCAAGAGAAGAGAACTATACATTCAACAGACCAAAACCAGAAAAGATTGGTCACATTCATTTTCACTGAGCAGCAGGTGAGTTCTTGTTAAGAGGGAGAGAACATAATGGGGAAAAATTTAGGAATGACTTAACCACATGGTATCACCTTCACTCAGGTCATATTGAAAAGATGCTGCTGTTCAGGGATCCTTTGGTGAGGAGAACCACAATTTCAGTTACGTATTACAGTATTTGAATTCCTTCATGTTTGGATTTGGAATATTTGATGTTAACTAGAAGCCATTTTGTTCCTTTTTTTGGAAAGATTGTGACCATGGGGCCTGTGCCCATTGCAATTAATGCTGGAAGTTCATGCCCCAATTGGCTAGAGAGAGATTAAATTATGTTTAAAGGAATATTTATTAAAAACCTTCAAGAAGCAGAGTGGAATGATTATTGGAGTTTAGCAGGGCTATCTTGATATGGCAATGGTGGTTCTTTTCCCTATGATGCAGAAAACTAGGTTTTACTTCCCTGCCCTGGTCACATAGCCTGTAGCCCAATGGTGCATTAAACTGCTGTAGCATTAATCAAGGATTCCTCAGCATTTGGGGGGATCTAAAGGGAACTGTTGAGTGCAAATTAATTTCATATGCTGATTATAAGCTTTTGTAATATGCATCACTGGTACCCAAACGCTTACCAGAGACATTTGGTTAAGTCTTCCTATCATCCAATTTAGTTGTGGTCCAGTCGATCAGTCTTTTCTCAGACAAACACTATGGTCCTCCGCAACAGGGTCACTTGCATCAGCTGTACAGAATTGGTCCCTTTTGCATGCAATGCCTGTTAAAAAAACAAAACCCCTCTGTAGTGTGCAGTGTCTTGTAAAACATATTAAAGCTGGAAGAGATTTTGTGCTGTGGGCAGCACATGAATGCAGCTGTGTGGCAGTCGACATGCTTAGTCATACAAGAGATGATTGTAGTCAACATGAATATTTATGTTTTATATGAAATGACAAACTACCATGACATCAAGGAATGTGAAATATCTTGCAATTGTATAGGCAATTTAATCAAAGAATAAGCACACAATTGCTCATTAAGTCCTGTGTCAAGCAGTTTCCAGTCATAGACAACTGCCTGCTGGCATTTATATTTACAATTTCTGTGAGTATCATTTCTGAGTAGCTTTGTGTGCATATAATTCACTTAGTCTTCCAAGGGGAGTAGTTATCTGGAGATTTTGTGCAGCACGAAGCTAAGTAAATCTGTCCTGGAAGCCTATCTCCTGTTTCTTTCCCAAAATGTGAATTACAACTCAAGAATAATGAGGTTCACCTGAGAGTCCCATGCTTAGGTAAATGAGAAGTCAATCAAAGATGCAGCTGTAATGGGTTTTTACCAGCTGGAGGATAGACTTGTAAAAATGTTTGTGGCCTATGTACACATTGGTAGCCTTGGTGCAGGTTTTAGCCTGTAGAAAAAATTAAGAACAGGTCTATTTGAGACCTCTTTTTAAAGAGTAAATATCTAGAGATCTTTTCCGTGGCTGAATACCTGGCACATATATCAACAATTCATGCTGAGAATGCAGCATTAATTACTGGTATAATGGTTACAAACGTTAACACGGATGAGGGGATCTTCCAATGAAATGGAAACGGTCAAAAAGCGGCAAAACAGGGCTTTGAGATTGTCTTCAAAGGAGTCTTCTACCTTATTTCCAAAATGGTTCAATCTATGAAGTTTTCTTTTGTAAAGAAGAAGGGCAATTCTGATTGTCCTTGAGGCAAATTCTTGGCCTCCTTGATAGGACAGACAGTGAGATACCAGCTGTCATAAGGATTCCTGCAAGTTGGAGTAAGATGCTCAGACTCATTGCATAGGCCACTAAAGAGCTACTCAATGCCACTCTGTTGCTACCATCCATCATGGGGTTCTAACAAGCAGTCAGCATTACTATGCTGAATCCTTTAGCTCTGCTAATATCACAGTGTAGACGTGTGTGTATACAGCTCAAGATGGGTGTTATTTTATTATAATTGTGTTCATTTTATGATGCTGTATTTTTAAAGGGATCCTCTTGTGATGTAATGCCAATATTATGTGCTCGCTATTGTGATGGTTTTGAATGCTTATACAAATCATAGCATAGTGCCCATGGGTGTTTTAACTTTCATGATCTAAGAAAAGTTTATAGATATGTGACAGTCAAATGTAGGTAAGAAATTTATGCTAAGGAACAGTGTTTGAAAAAAATATAGCAATCAGATGACTGGCTATACTGCCTTGAAGTCCTTCACCAGTATTTCAAGTTTGGCTTGTAATTTTGCTGTAAAATAGGTATTTCTATCCATTAAATTAAGTTTTTTCCCCATTTCAATTTTAAAGAGTGATGAGTATCATCTCCAGGGAAATAAAAATGAGGAGGGATAGTTTGATGAAGTCATTCTAAAGTAAATGCTGGTACTGGCGCACAATTTATTTATTTTAGAGAGTGGAGGTGTCTGGAAATCTAAAGCATGCAGGCACCCCACGATCCCTTTCTGTGGTCCTTTTGTCCCTGCCTCTCCTGCCATTCCCAGTATTCCCACGTAGCAGCAATACCTTTATGCAAATTTGAGCATCCTGCAACCTACTGAATAGCAGCAGTGAACATGATCACACTCAGGAATGTTTTTGACAAAGCTAGAAGCAACACCAGAGATAGTCGAGATATTTGGCTACAGATATGGGAAGATGCTGCTGCACCTGTTTGCTTTGGGCTGGCATTTGAAAGGCTTTTTATTTTCTTCAACGTGTAAAAGAAGAAGCTTAAAAATGCATAAATTGATAAGTCAAGCTTCTGCATTTGCCAGGCTTCCAGGAAGGTATAATGAATGCAGGTATAAAGTAAGTAACAGGATGATTCAAGTGTCGTTAACGTAAATGGGAATCATACAGACACTGAGCAGAACTTTAAAAGATGCTGAGATTGGAAAAGATGCTCATTAACGTAGAGCTATTCTGGTACTGATATACTTCTAAACAATTTGTTTCTTTTGTTACAGTTCATCATCAAGTATTTGGAGCCTTTTTATTTAGTTGCTGATAATGAGTAGAATGGTCCAAGGCACATGTTTTACTGTAGATCAAGAGCCCAACATCCCTGACATAAAAGCTATAGATATACCACACACTCTGCAATGTGCATCAATGTGTTACACTGCTGCCCTGCCAACTGATTTGCCTTCCTGTCCTCAGCAACACAGTTCACAAAAGTTTTCCATTTCGCAGAAACTGAGAGCAAGCCCCTGCCAAGTAAAAACTCACCCAGTGGCCTTGACGGGAAGAAAATCACAAGAAAGAAAAATAATGGACTTTGAAGTCATGACCAGCTGCTGTGTTCATACAAACAAACTTGACATCTTATTTCCTGGACCTTCCCAGAAATGGGAAACTGATAGCAAATTAAAAGATCACACAGTGGTCATAGCAGGAGAAGTTTCAAAAAACCAAAAGGTTAAGAACTGTGAAGTCAAGAAGGACAAGATGCATCGTCTTCATCCGTACAAACACGCCAGTTGTCACCTAGAGAAGAGCAGCGGGATTGGTCCCAATACCGCACTGAGTTATCATCATTTCCTGACTCCCAATCCCATGCAAAGATTACCTCTTATAACTGGGCTGTCTGGTTGTCAGGGCACGCACCCACGTTTAGCAGCAATGAATGCCTACCAGTTTGCCCTACTGCCGTTCTCTCATCCATGGTTTCCTATACCATCACCTTTTACCCTTTCGATGCCTGGGAATGTCATTCACCACAACAACACACCCCCATGTTATCATTACTGTCAGTGTTTTTGCTGCCTTAGGAGCTGGAGATCCTCAAAATCAAATTTAAAGTAAGAACTTTGATGATGCATGAAAAAAAAATTGCAGGGACACATGCAATAAATCCTCTTAATACACATTTCCACTGTGTATCATTTGGGAAACCACTAAAAATTTAAGTCTCCAGACATTTAACTTTCTTAGGTTTTTCTTCCTCCTCCTTTACCTTTCCGTTTCTATTGTTCTGTGATCTTTTAAATAAATATAGTGCTCTGAAAATGGGCCTGTTGGTTCCCATGCTGTCAAAAAAAAGAGCAACCAGCCAGCTCTGTCCTTCATTGAAGTGTATTGATGAAATATGTTACACTAAATTATACCAAAGCTACACAAATGGGCTTTTTTAATAGCTTTAAACTGAAAGGAGTTAAAGATTTGAACATTTGCCTTTTTTGGATTGTAAAGTCATGCTTTCCTCATATAAATATTTTACCATCGTTTTGTCAAACCGTTCCCTGAGAAAAACCCTTAGTAAGATATTAAATGGGTATGTAATATAGCAGAATAGTTACCACTTGCTTGCAAGTGATTTTCCTTTCTAAGCACAGAAGAGAGCTTAGGTATAAAATACTGACAATCAGCATATTGTCTCTAAATCCAACTTGGGCAAGGGCTTGCTGCATGACTTTGGCAAGTCTCTCTCCCCTCCCCTTAATTTTTGCACGAGTAAAATTAAAATAATGATACCTCTCTCTCGGTGTGAGAGTGACAATTAATAATATTTTACAAACATGCTGAGATCTTTTGAGGAACAAGAGGCAATAAAGACTATGGATTGTGGGCTGGTAGGAGTCAAAGGTTATTACAGACAGATTGAAATTAAATGTGGTGCAGCTCTGCTAATGAAAGATTTTATCGTGTTATAGGGAAAAAACCCCACAATGTATGTGCTGACCAGAGGATTATCTTGCCTCAGATTCAAGATGCTATGGCTATGCTGAGATGCTAGACACAGAGCTATCCTATCTCATTCAGTAAAACAAGTGAATCTCTTACTGAAGCACAAATAACTTTATCATAGATGAGCACTGAATAAACCATGGCACAAATGGATTATTGACAGTGATGTATGACGGCTTTTTGATGATCTCTAGTGAAATGTAAAAAGATTGCCAAATATATCATTTAACAAAGGCAAGGGTTTCTTTTATTGGACCAACTGCATAGCTGGGATAGTTAGAGAAGCTTTTGAAGGTAAGGCATTGTTCATTAGTTTCAACATGCCTTCTGGAGGCACACACGGGGCAGATCTGTCTGGTGGCCGTGGCATCTGCCTCCAGGCTGCCACTGTGGTGGAATCAAACTGCTCAGCATACACCTGTTTTCTGGAGGCACGTTGGCTCCAAACTGAGAAGACCTGAGAAGCGGCGCACTTAGTTGCATAATGTAAATGCAGACAGGTGCAATTTTCTCCAGCTGTTTCTCAGTTTAATCCTGAGAAGAGGCATGAACAGAGTAGTTCCAAATGCCCTGCACACCTCTGTGTCTCAGTGACACCATGCAGGGTTGGACCAGCAAGGGCCACGGCAAGAGCACACACTCGTACCACAACTTCCTGATCTGCAGGAGGTGTGTGGCTCAGTTCCACCTGGCCGTGGCAGCAGTGGCAGTGAGGTGAATATAATATAATGATCTAATCAGTTAATGGCATGTTAATTGGTAATGTAACTATAATTTTCATAACATATGTACATTTGATTTAGAACGGAGTGCTGCCGAATTTTGAAAGGTTTTGGAGGAGTGCCTTGAGTCTAAAAAGGCTGAGAAACATTGCTCTGAGAAAAATATAATTCACACCCATATGCATTCCCCTTCTGAACAT